CCAACATGGTGAAACCCTGTCTCTACTAGAAAAAAAAAATAATAATAATAATACAAAAAAATTAGCCACGCATGGTGGTGCAGACCTGTAGTCCCAGCTACTCGGGAAGCTGAGGCAGGAGAATCGCTTGAACCTAGGAGATGGAGGTTGCAATGAGCCAAGATCTCACCACTGCACTCCAGCCTGGGCGACAGAGTGAGACTCCGTCTCAAAAAAAAAAAAAAAAAGGCAAGAACAGGTCAGAGGTCAGGAGAGTGAGGAGAGTGGTGATCCTGGAGTGGGAGCATGCTGGCCTTTCAGAGGCTGGTTAGGTTCAGCTTTGGCACTCTGGGTATTGGTTACAAGGTTGGGCTCAGTTTGTGAGAATGTATTGAGCTGTTCATTTATGGCATGTGCCCTTTTCTGAATACATGTTTTTTGGTTTTTTTTTTTTTTTTTTTTGAGATGGTGTTTTGCTCTTGTTGCCCAGGCTGGAGTGCAGTGGCAAGATGTCAGCCCACTGCAACTTCCACCTCCCGGGTTCAAGTGATTCTCCTGCCTCAGCCTCCCAAGTAGCTGGGACTACAGGCATGCACCACCACGCCCAGCTAATTTTGTATTTTAGTAGAGACGGGGTTTCTCCATGTTGGTCAGGCTGGTCTTGAACTCCCAGCCTCAGGTGATCCACCCGTCTTGTCCTCCCAAAGTGCTGAGATTACAGGCGTGAGTCACCGTGCCCGGCCACATGTTAAATTTTAAAATGAAAATCAAAAGGACAAGAACTCATCTCCCCACAGGGTGTCTTACAAGTCCGAAGTTTGCAGAGAGCCCAGGAAAGCTTACCAAGGGGACTGGCATGCTCACTGCCTCTGAGGTTAAGGAGGCACCCCAGGAAGAGGTGACATGCGACTGGCCAGTGAAGGGTGAGCGGGGGTGGAAGGGTTTCCTTGGTGGTGCCAGCTTTCCTGATGTCTCTGCAAAGGTTTGGAGGCACCAGAGATCCTGGTTCGTTTTGACTTTGGATGGTGTGGGGTGTGGAAACACAGCACATCAGCAGATGGCCCAAAGGAGGCATTTCTGAGTTGGAACAGGTTGGGCACTCATTACTACTTTAGTATTAACTTAATTTGCTTAAGCCTTCAGAGACTAGGGATGCCCTGGAAGGAGTCTAGATGACTAAGAGAAGGTGGTGGAGGGGGAAGGGGGAACCAGGGGACCTGGGGGATCCAGAAAGAAGAGTGGTAGAAACAGGCAGAGAGGTAGGAGGAAACCAGGAGAAGGCAATATCCAAGAAGGAATCAAAAAGTGATTCTGGGCCGGGCGCAGTGGCTCATGCCTGTAATCCCAACACTCTGGAGGCTGAGGTGGGCGGATCACTTGAGGTCAGGAGTTCAAGACCAGCCTGGCCAATATGATGAAACCCCATCTCCACTAAAAATACAAAAATTAGCTGGGCATGGTGGTGCGTGCCTGTAGTCCCAGCTACTCGGGAGACTGAGGCAGGACAGTTGCTTGAACCCTGAAGGCGGGGGTTGCAGTGAGCCAAGATTGCACCACTATCCTCCAGCCTGGGTGACACAGTGAGTCTCCACCTCAAAAAAAAAAAAAAAAAAGTGATTCTGGCTGGGACCACCCAGTGTGGCCCAGTGTTCAGTGAAGCCAGGACTGAGAAATCCCAATGGGGTTGGAGCAGGTGGCCCCTGGTGATGTGATGACTGGGGCCCTTTCTGGGGATGGGGAGGGAGCGGCTGTGTTGTGGGTGGCCGAGAAGGGAGTGGGGATGAGGAAACAGTGACTCTCCTTCATTCAGCTAGGCACTGACACTGCCCCTAGGCAGGCAGAGGGACTGCTGGGAGGAGGAGGGCTGAGCCAAGCCTGCAATAGCTGGAGAGGGAGGCTGGAGCCAGGAGAGAGGACATGGAAACCTGTCCTCCCCAAGCCTTTCCCGAAGCTTCAAGAGTTTACTCCCGTTCTGAGGCGTGCCCCCAACCTTTCTTTTTTTTTTTTTTGAGGCGAGTCTCACACTGTCACCCAGGCTGGAGTGCAATGACGCGATCTCAGCTCACTACAACCTCTGCCTGCCGGGTTCACACAATTCTCCTGCCTCAGCCTCCAGAGTAGCTGGGATTACAGGCACACACCATCACACCCAGCTAATTTTTCATACTTTTAGTAGAGACGGGGTTTCATTGTGTTGGTCAAACTAGTCTCGACCTCCTGACCTTGTGATTTGCCCACCTCAGCCTCCCAAAGTGCTAGAATTACAGGCATGAGCCATAGCGGCCGGCCGAGGAGCCCCCTTTTTAGGCGCTCACTCTGGTCGTCGTCCCAGGCCTGTCCTCCATGGCCTCTCCACATCCTCTTGTCCCTGTGGCTGGTGACTTTGAAAGTCAGGCACTGGGTGTCAGGAAAGTAGGCACCACCATGGACCCCTCTCCCCCAGGACAAGCTAGAGGTCCTGACAGCCTGGGACAGGCTCTGAGGCCGGACCACCTGGGTCCCAATCCAAGCTCGCTACTCTCTGGCTCTGTGGCATTGAGCATTTGACTTCTTGGTACCTTGTTTCCTCACCTGTCACGTGGGGCAAGGATTAGGACTTCGCATGGTCGTGAGAATTGAAGGAGATGCTGATTGCCATCACATGAGCCCTACAGAGAAAACTCGGTAATTCAATCACTGTCAGCTGCTGTGCTGGTGGTGATGGTGATGTGCCCTCAGGACCAGAGCAGGGGAGCACCAGTCCTGACCCCCTCCTCATTCACTGTCTGGCTCTGGGCAAGCCCCTTTCTGGGCCTCAGTTTCCCTGTCTGCAAAATGCAGGAGGCGGACCAGGCTGCTTCTAAGCATGCTTCAGACCCCAAAATCCAGGCTGACTCTTGGCCCCCTTGTCTAGTTCTCAGCACATCCAGCTTCCAGAGGCCCACTGGAAGATCACAGGCCCGAGATTCTTGCAGTCCAGGTGAGCTACACCCAGGTGTTGGGAGAAGAATCCATCATGGGCACGGGCGTTCCTGCACATTCTTGCTGAGTATGCCCCAAATGCAAAGCCCTGGTCGCTCCGTACCCGTGTCTCAGGGTCGTGTTTGCAATGAGCAA